CTACTTTTTTTCTAGGGGTACATCTTCACTATCAACATGATTAACTTAATTTTTTAAATTTCAGAAATCATTGCCGTTATAGGGCTACACCCCAAAAATCTTCCATCGCCAGAAAGTACCAGGATGTGTGACCTCATGAGATCGTGCATAAGACCGTCAATATCAAATTTTCTCATTTCAGCATTACGCTGAACAACGCTGAACAACCATATTTAAATCAATCTGTTGTATTTTGGTATCCGTCCATTTTTCATGTACATTACATATATAGAAACTAAAACTAACTTATTTATAAGGAACTGAATACTTACTTTCAACATTAAGGCGAGCTTTGCTAGAAACAGAACCAGCGGGATTCTCTGCAGTTATAGAATAGATTCCAGAATCTGAGGGAAGTGCTTTTTGTACAATCAGAGTACACATGTCATTATCTTCAAATAGTAATTCATAATGTACACTGTCACTCAGTTGTTTACCATCTTTATACCTAGAAATATAGAGAAAAACACATCAATTATATGGAGTTTTTAACAAAATATTTCATTTATTACACTTACAGTGTTCCAATTTGATATAATTTGTGGGAATCTTGCTCAGTTTAATCAATTTCCTCATCTCAAAACTATTAAAAAATATTACAGTTAAAGCAGATACAAAGTATGCAAAATACATTTGTTTGTTTGTTTATACTCAACTCCAACATGAGCTGCACAATTACTGTGGCATTTTAAACAACTTGACCAATAGTTTCAGAGTAAGTTTAATATAACATTTTTGACAGAAAAAACACCAAAACTAACTGAAATTAAAAACTAAATCAAAGAACCACCTCAAATATCTTCTTGATTATCAAAGCAGCTTGGCTGATACTTTAACAGCAATATTGAGAACATTAATTAATTGACGCCTAATCACTTGTAGTATTAAGCATGATATCATTAAACAGTCGCTGAAGATACAAATTTAATAAATTCATTTTATAATCAGATATTAGCAATAATGTTCTCCTGTTTGCAAAAATACCCAAATATTTACTATTTATTTCACCACTAGAAACAGCAGTCTAACTTTATAGTGGAATACATACAAAGAAGCTGAGTGAAATACCGACCAACAACGAGTTGTTACACTTAATTAACTTGGTATTGCTTAAACCAGCCTAGCTATGCATAATATACCTGTTCTAAAGAACAATAGCTTCCTTGTATGATAACAACAATAATCACCATGGCAACAACACCAGTAAGTAAGTGTAGTCAACCAAGAATACATATCCATGGCAACAACATATAAACAAGACATGCAGTGCAAATTAAAATATTTGTAATAACCAAAATAATGGTCAACGTCAGATCAGTCCATAATGCTATTATGTACTTTGTTATTTCAACAAGTCCTCATATCAAATATCCGTATATTTACTCTGTAGGATTTCAATTGGTGACAGCTCTAAATCTTTAGAAATACATGTTTCGATCACATGCTATTTCGTTATTTCAATAAGTCCTCATAACAAATATCTCTGTTCATTTGTCTTTCTATTTATTTGGCTACTATTATTGAAAGTTAGATTAGGGATAACTGTAACAACACAGAACCAGACTCAAATCATTGTTGATACAACAAAAACATTTTAGGTCACGGACAGTTCACACTGAATAGTAGGATACAAGACATGAAGTGATGCCCTTTGGTATAGAATTGTTATTAAGTGCACACTGTATTGTGTAGAGGGTCAGCTTTGAACATGTGACTACCAGCTACACTGAGTAACCAATTTGCAAGAATCTATGTCATGTAAATGATACATTGTAAAATGCTGATGTTCATTTAAAAGTTTTATGATGAGAAGATAATTTACGGTTTATTGGTGTTTCGGACAATGATGTCATATTATGTAGTTATCACCCAATATCACCTGTTCATAGAGTAGCATGATAAAGTGATGCCATTGGCCAATATTATCCACAAACCAAATGTTAGTGGTGGATGATATTATCCCATGATGCCAGGAGTATCTACATGCTCTATGAATAAGTGATAATCTTTTTATCACATGACCAACTTTTATGGGACTACGCTGATGAATTAAAAGCTAATTTATGCGTGACATCTACGCATGTTGATGGACTCGCATTTGCAGATTCTGCCACCAATGGTTTTTGTAATTTTTCGGCTGAAATGTTACCCTTAGTCATAATTATTACGAGTTATTGTCATTGTGTTATCCATATTAAAATTCTTGTATCTGATACTAGGTATTCCTCAATTTGGTTTTATCCAGGTCCTTAGAGACTTTGCATATATTACTAATGCAGAATGTGGATGTTTCAGATAATCAACAACAAATTACATATACGTACCATTTAATTTCTGGATCTGGTTCACCAGTGATTCTGCAATCAAACCTAGCATTGCTCCCTTCAATTACATCTATGTCTTTTAATTTCTGAGTTACAACTGGTTTTACATAACTATCAGAGATATCAGGTTCAGCACCTATAGACAGACAAAAGAAAACTTTATCCTGCTTCAGTCCCTGGCTTCCAACTGGGAGACTATAGCAAGGAAATTTTAATTGAAAGGTACATCAAAGTAGATGTGTACTTATTGTTTCTTGCCCCCATAAAGGCAGGGACACATTCATTACAAGATTCCAGCTACAATTCAAAATACCAATCATAACTGGCATTTCAAATGATTGTAAACTTGGATGAATGTTTTCTTGTATATTGGCCAAACCCCTTAACTAATGTTCTTCTGTTTTTTCCGTACCGAATCACAAGTGACTTTTTTGTTTGCCTTACCATATTTGCTCTATTATAAACACAGCTTAATTATAGAGGCATAAATGCGAAAAATGTTTTGTTTTCATGGAATTTTAAAGTATGACAAATTCAACTTGTGATTTGTCAATGCTTAGCTTAACTTTTTAACATGGATTGAAACTTTAAAAGAGCAAATATCGTATGACAACGTGTCACATGTTAATACCTTAGGTATTGTCAAACAGTTCAACTATTTATCATACATAATAATTTTACAAGAATGAGCAATATTATAATAAATATTGCTAACATACTACAAGGCTTGATTCATATTGTTTTATCTTACCACCTCTGTATACATGTATTTATACTTAATCTAACCTGCAATGCGAACTTGACAACTACATGAAACAGAACCAATAGTATTTGTTGCGATACAAGTATATTTGCCATCATCACAAATATCTGTATCGTAAATTTCTAGATTATGAGCTCCGTTTTCTTCAAAGATTTCATAGTGTTCTCCTGTTTCTAAGACAGTTCCTTCTTTTTCCCATTGGATTTCAGGATATGGGTTTCCTGTCACGGTCACACTGAGTTTTGTAATGCTATCAACTTCTACTGTCTTAGAACGAAGTTTTAAAATGAACTCAGGAACTGTTTGGACTATTTTTTCTTTAGTGTTATTGCTTGTACTTGGCAGTGGTAGCGGTAATGTAGTTACAGGTTTCTTTAACTTGTCTGCTGTTTCTTTTTGCACTTCAGTAAATTCTGAAAGAAACAATAAGCATTAAACTATAAGGATTACATATTTGCATAAGTAGAATTTCGCATTTTGTAAAAAGCTTGTATTTGCATTTAGTTTCATTTGCTCTTGTTCCACTGTTTTAAATTACTCCTAAACATTAATAACCAGACTATGGCACTTTCCTTTGTGGTGACAATATAGTGCAATAATCATATTGCCTTCATACTTATTTCTATGATTACCACATTTTATTGTCATATTAGGTGTTGGTCTACAATAAATTTGCAAATGCACATCTTATAGATCTCTGTTTTGGAATTACATATAGTTTAAAAAGATTTTTCAGATGTCCAATCGCAGATGCAAATGTTATTGGTAAACAAATGATTCATTTTGAAATAAAAATCCAGCATCTTATCAATCAAATTATCGAGATGAACTGATAACCAAATATATCAATAATGACAGACAAGGAGTCATTGTTGAAGTCATGGACATCATTTTGGAAGAACCATTAGTAATGCGTAATGGATTTTATTTTTCAAATGGTTAATAAGCATGATAGCATTTCAAAATGTGATAATTATTGATTTTAATA